CCATAGATTGCAGCAGCTTTTTCACCAGCTGCCAATTTTGCACAGCCTACGTTTGCTTCAACACAATTTCAATTTTACCATTGACGACTTTGACGCAATGCTGTTTGCCTCCGTCTTGGTCTTTGCAGTTGCTTCGAGACGAAAACCACCTGTCTCCGTGTATGTGCAAGTTCAGACTGCTCGCATTAAAGCGCATCATTTTCGAAGCCAACCATGGTGACCTCTTGGCACCATGCATTCTTTTTGAGCTGATAGCCATTAAATGACATCTCAGTCCTTCTTATGTGCCCTTCTGGCCTACCCAAGGCCAGTCGCAAGACTGAGTTGAACGCAGAAACCCCGTGGTCAAAAGATGAGAGTGTCATCAGCTGCTTTGTGTCATGTGAAACGTGAGACGAAACGTTGACGAGTTTTGCTTCTTGTCTCCACGATTTCTTTTGGGCTGACAGCTGTATCCATGATGATGTTCATCAAGATTTTATGGCCCATTTGTTTTTTGCATCATTTCCGGAAACATAACTTGACCGCAACGGGGACAACACAGTTGGGGAGTTTTTGCGTGTTTCATTGTGTGGCACCGTTTGCCAGTTGGAGTGGACCATTTGGTCGACTGTCCAAGTTGGACTTGCGTGTCCAAGAAACAGGAATTTATACACAATCAACCTCAAATCGCTGAGTTTGTATTCCTTTGTGCATGGTTTCCTCGCTTCACTGAGTTGGTTGGCGCAACTCAAACGCAGTGCCTACCCCTTGTGGGCATACGATTGACTTGAACCCATCCATCATTGCCACCTTGTTTGGTGACTTTGGGGGGTTGGTTGTTTTGGTTTCTATTTTGCGTCATTTTCGTAATGTGCGAAAACTCGTGGGCACAACAACAGTGTTTTTGTTATTATCATTATCATTCTTCCTATTATTTGTACTTTTTAAATTCATGTTTATGGTTGAATCTGAACAGTTCAGCATGCATCTCTTCGGTGGGAAACGCCGCTATTGGCGCCTGATGGTTTGGGCGGGTTGGCTGTGGTCAAATCAAGGTCAGATTGTTGGCAGCACATTCACGGAAGCAGAAAACCGTTGCGCTTGAACTGTTTCAAACATCAAACATACCCAGCAGCTGTGACGTTGCAGGGCAAAATCACATGTGCAAAATACTCAGGGAAACAGAACATCCAAAACGTGGAAGTGACCAAAATTGTCGGTTTCACTGGTGTTGCATTGTGCAATTTTGGCCATGCAATTTGAATCAATCGTGCTTGGTTGTGGTTCAACCCATGCATTTGGAAACACAATTGTTGAATTTTATGATCCCGTTTGAGGTTTAGATTGTGACGAAGATTTGGGTATCCCCTAGCCCTAATCCAAGATTGATAGTTTTTGTCGTTGAGGAAAAACCTTTGTCGCAGATCTGTGCAGAACTAACTAAGACAAATTTAATGGCAAGAATGGCTGCAACATCGGAATTGGAAATCTTGTCACCAAGAAACCGACTCCAACATTGATGTTCTTAGTGAAATGAACCAGTGTTTCGACGCCCGTGCGCCACAGTCAGTGCAAAAAATCCCAAACTCTGGCACGCAGCTCACGGCTTTTGATGAAACATGATGCAGTTGGGAGGTCCACAACAACATCCAAAGCAAATTTTGCACCCAAGTTGTGATCACCATTCCCCTTGAATCCACCGGACTTTCACTCATGTGCGTAGAAGGTGGCCTATTTGACACACACATGATCCACACACAAGCATATCCCCTCACCTACTTTCCCAAACTGACACAGATGGATTCAGTCAGTTGCAACTGCCATATTTTTGGATTTTCATAGAATCACTGGTTGGCAAACACAGGCTGTATTTCACAGGTCAAGACGTGTTCCACAGTCCAATTTACATTTTTTTCCTGTTTTGGTGCTCTACTTTTCCATGGTTTAAGCCTTGTCGCCATCTTCGCCATGTCGGGCCCTTTAGGGGGTCATCAGGGCTACATGAAGACGTTCGGCCCAGCTGGCAGAGGTAAGAAACGCTTCGTCACCAAAGGCTTCAAGCTTCACAGCTGCAACAGGATGCGGACATTTCATTTCCGTTCTTTTGAAAAAGTTTTGTCCAGCGGAGATAATTGGCATTTTTAATCGATTTGGACCTGGCTTTTTGACAAGGCTGGGAAGTTATGTCGTGATCAAGTACAAGATTGCTCCCGGGACCTTCATTGAATATGAGGGAAAGATAGTGGACAAACGAGTTGGAATCGAGGATAAAGAGTCCTATGTGGAGTTGAAAGACTGCCTAACGCTCAATGCGGATGGGAAGATTGTGCATATAGACAAGATGAAGCGCTTGACGGACTCTTTCATCGAGGCAGGCTGACTGACAAAACATTGGTGGCCCTGGGTGTTTTCATCACAGTCGTCACAATGTTGCTTCATGTGCGTTTTAAGTAACTTCTTTTACACGGTAAACCTTGTGATCAGTCCGTTGTCAAGGCCCCATGTGTTCATCGCTTTAGCTACTTATTTCTTGAGGTTGAACATGTACAACTTCCTAGCATCCCCATGTCTTGCATGAACATATTTGCATTGAGTAGCCACAGTCGACCACTGCAAGGGGGG